CTCCAAAACAGATTATGTTTATGAAGTTAGGTCATAGAATGAAGCATTTAGCTGGCATCTGAAGAAGAAATAGGGTAGGACTTTTTTTTTTTTTTTTAAGAATAGGAGGACAGAGGGGAAGGAGAGATCAGATATTGTGAAGGAAGAGTTATTACCTTTTCACTTAGAGGAGAGCTGGTAAAGTGGAGTAAAATGCATTATTTGAAGGCAGTTGGGCAGGCTTAAAAGTGCAGCTTCCAGATTTATCCTCACTTCTGTAAAACCTGTCTACTTTTGGTCTCAACTGTCGCATCCTGGAAGAGACATTCTCTCCGATCTAAGTTAGCTTTCCACCTTGTTCTTCTTTACAGAACACTTCTCACAAATTTCAGCTATGCAGTATATTTGTTTCTGTGATTATATATTTGTGTGATTTTTGTGAGTCTCCCTCTGCCAGTAGAATCTCAGCATCTAACAATACTTAAGTAATTGAATGCCTGGGACATAGTAGGCAAATAAGTATGTATTGTCTTATAACTTCTATGGGCCAGGAATTCAGAATTCAGTAGCAGCTTAGTTGTGTGGTTCTGGTTCATGAGCATTTCTCGTGAGGTTGCAGTCAGGATGTCAGCTGGGGCTGAAGTCATTTGAAGCCCAACTGAGGCTGGAGGATCCAAGGGGATTCCTTCACCTGCCTGGGCATCAATGCTGGTTGTTGGCAGGAACTCTCAGGTACTTCCCATGGGGACCTTCTCATGGGCTTCTTGAGTATCCCACATCGTAGGAGCTAACTTCTCAGAGCAAGCACTCCAAGAGAGCACAATATCTTTTATGACTCATCCTTCAAAGTCATATACTATCATTTCTGCAGAATCTATTGGTTGGTATATGGGCCAGCCCTGTTCATTGTCAGAGGCAGCTGTACCCGGGCATTGATATCAGGAATTGGCATCATTGAAGGACATCTTGGAGGATGTCCACCGCAAATGCTATATGGTGTAGTATAGGGTCACCCAAGAATTACTAACACAGTTTCCTAGTATTTCCTAATAGTGTTGATGGAGGGCCTCGGAAAACATGCATTTGTCTTGGCAGCAGACAGGATACTGTTTTTCTAATAGCATAAGACTAGAATGAGAGAAAAAAGATGTTGGGTTGATCTGGGTTTTAGGGGTTAACAAATCATTATAAGGGCAGACATTGAGATAAATAAGTGTATCTTAATTCAGCAGTTGGTTTGGTTTATTTGGTACTGTCTTTGACAGCAAGTGTTTTGGTCTTTGCCACACGTGGAGCCATAACGTTATCTCAGCAGTGGTGCAGGTGACTTTCACCTTGGCTCTGAGAAAGTTGTAACAGGTAACTTTTCATCGTACCTTGCTTTGTGCCAGATTATATTGTATAATCCTCAAAATAACCCTGTAAGTAGATTACTCTTATTTTCGAAGTAAGGAAACCTGGCTTGCAGTTAAGGATGACCCAACTGTTATGTCCTAGACCTAAACTCAGGTCTGCTGATAACAGAGCCTAAGCTTAATTTATTTACTTTGTACCACCCTGCCTCTCCCTCACAGTGTAATTGCACGTGGAAGGATTTATCTTAAAACACTGAAGAAGCCAGATTCAAAATTGTACATACATTATGATTTCACCTATCATAGAAAAAGATAGGAACTACATAAAAATTGGGGAGTTTTTCCCCTGTTACTTCCCCCCTCCAAATGTTCTATAAGTGGATATTAGAGTTAGAAAAGTTATTTTAAAGAAGTAATTTTGAGGGCGCCTGGCTGGCTCAGTCAGTTGGGCGTCCGACTTTGGCTCAGGTCATGATCTCGCGGTCCGTGAGTTCGAGCCCCGCATCGGGCTCTGCGCTGACAGCTCAGAGTCTGGAGCCTGTTTTGGATTCTGTGTCTCCCTCTCTCTCTCTCTGACCCTCCCCTGTTCATGCTCTGTCTCTCTCTGTCTCAAAAATAAATAAATGTTAAAAAAATTTTTTTTTAATAAAAAATAAAGAAGTAATTTTGTTCTGAAAGTTGGCACTCGAGTTTGCAAAATGAACACTAACTCTGTGTTTAATGGACTTTTTTATGTTGTAGCTAAGTTTCAGCATGAGTCATTGTCTTCAGAAATCTGTGAATAATTTTTTTTAAGTATGAATTTCTGCAAAATGTCATTCCATTGAGCTCCAGGCAGTTCAACTGTGGAAAATAAATGTCTCTATTTGTCCTCTCTTCAGCTTATCCAGCTCAGGTTTGCATACTTGTTAACAGATCAGCAGATCTCGTGATTGCCTCCAGTTTCAAAGGCCAATTGGATGGATTAAACACTGACTTCTGATAAAATTAATTTATTTCAAAATAATTTCAAAGGCGTATTTATATCGAATAAGAATAATCCTCTTACATAGTTTTATCATGGTATCATCTATAAGGCCTTTCTGAAATTGTTATATAAACGATCACACTTCCCACGCCACAGTGCTGGCGCAGGAGCTAACATATTGTGCCTAATCCATGGTTCGTTCCATTTAGTATCTCACATTTCTCAGCAAGAAACACCAAGGAATTAGATGAAGAAAGGCATGTTTGTTCTCCTTCTCTAACAACAAACCTTAAGGTCACACAGAAAATTCTAACAAGAAGTTCACAGCCTAGCTGATCATCTGCCTGCTCAGTGGTGACAGTGATCTGTAACTTACCAAACACACTAATCAGTTCTTGGCCCTGTGACTCGGCATTTCAGTAGCACTTCCCTTAGCTGATCTTCTCAAACACTCCTTAAAATGCTTTCTTCACCTGGCTTTTAGGCTTTTAGGCTATTTCCTGGTGTTCCTCCCTATCCTTTTATTCCTCTTTATCATTTTTTTTTTTTTGACTTGTCCTCTTTCCAACCTATAAGTTTTGCCTGAGGACTCAGTCCTTGGATCTCTTTTCTCCATTTGTATGGTCTCTTTTGGTAATCATGTCCGGTTCCCATAGCCTTAAATGCCACCCACACGCTGAGTCTTCCAGATTTATATCTGTACCCCGACCTCTTCTCTGAGCTCTAGCCTCTTACAGCCAGTTGCATGTCTGACTTCAGTACTTGGCCATATGAGGAGCATCTCAAACTTAACACGTGCAAAAACATATGAGGAAAAACGACTGTGATTATCACTCCACTGCACAACCTACTCCAGCCTTCCTCTTCTCTGTAAATAGCATTAGCATCTACTCAGTTGCTCGAGCAAGAAATCTAGGAATTACCTTTGATTCTTTTCTTTTCCCTCATCCTTCACAGCCATTTAGCAAGTCTCGTGGCCTCTACCTTCAAAATACATTCCAAATCCAACCGTTTCTCACCACCTTCTTCACCATGTCACCTAGATCCCTGCAGCAGTTTTCTACTGGTCTCTGGTTTTTTTAAAAAATTTTTTTTTTCAATGTTTATTTTATTTTTTTTGGGACAGAGAGAGACAGAGCATGAACGGGGGAGGGGCAGAGAGAGGGAGACACAGAGTCGGAAACAGGCTCCAGGCTCCAAGCCATCAGCCCAGAGCCCGACGCGGGGCTCGAACTCACGGACCGCGAGATCGTGACCTGGCTGAAGTCGGACGCTTAACCGACTGCGCCACCCAGGCGCCCCTGGTCTCTGGTTTTATTCTCGCCCTCACTCCATTTCACGGTAGCTAGAGTAATCTTACCAGGTGTTGTTTATATTGAGTCATTACCTCTATCAAGATCCTCTAACAGCTTCCCCTCCTGTTTACAATAAGACCGAACCTTCTCATTAGGGCTTACAAACTGCATCATCCAGCCTTTCCATCTCTCACCAACCTCAGTCACCCACCACTCATTACCTAGCTTATTCTACTGTATCCACATCGGCCTCCTCACCCTTCCTGGGATACACCAAGCTCCTTTCTGCCCTCTGGGCCTTTACTCTTGCTATTTCCTCTGCCTGAAACACTGCAGGGCTTCACGTTGCCTGCTCTCTCACTTTGTTTAGCTCTCTACTCAGATATCCCCTTTTCTCTTGTAATACTTATTGCCCTCAGTCATTCTTTAGACACCTGCTTGCCTGTTTGGTTACTGTTTATCATCTCCTCTCCAGGAAGCATAAGCTCAGTAAGTGCATGGACTTGCTGTCTTATTCACCAGTGCATCCCCCGTGCCTCCAACAATACCTGACCCATGACAGATGCTCATAGAGATTTATTGGATGAATGAATCTGCATTTTACTGCAACAGCTGTCTGGCTTCTTGGCAAATTAAATAGCCTCTACTCATGCTGAATTTCCCATGGCCTCTCTGTAGTACTTGATACCGTGTGTCTTCCTATCACCCTCTTCTAATTTCTACGTTTCTGTACAACCATCTTCCTACCGCATCATTGTCTCCTGCCATATCTTGTAAATTGTCCAGTCCTGTTAATTCTTCCTTTGTAAGTATATTGCCTCTCAAATCCACGCCTTCTTCTCCGTCTGCTTCTCTACTAAGTTCAAACTTTTATACTTGATTGCAGGAACCTCCCCGCTTTTCCTTTTGTCTTACTCAGTTATCATTGAGTAAGATCTTATCCCCATATTATCATTCCACTGAACTCTTTAAATTGTGCATATTATTTATCTTTGTATCTCTTGCAGCACCTAGCACCACCCCCGCCCCCCCATAGCAGACACTCAGTGAATGCTGAATGAATTGTCCTGTGTTTCTAGAAAGTAGAACTGGTGGGTCATGTGATTATTTTAATGACTATAATTCTTTGAAAAGAATTTGTGCTTCAATAATCCCCCTTTCTTCTTTAGGGAAACTATAGCAATTCTTTGTTGTATATTGATTTTTATGGAGTGTTTAAGTGACTAATCACACAATGTACTATTAGAGCATTTCACAGTAGAGATTTGTTTTTTGATCTAATGGAAGTAAAGTAGTATCTGTACTTGTGTTAAAATGGTTCTTTCTTTTCTTTTAGGCTGAAGTCTCCAGTGAATATTGAATTGCTGAGAAATTTGGGGAAAGACCAGCTGAAGTTCCCATTCCATGGATCCCTTGGGTGCCCCTTCCCAGTTTGTGGATGTGGATACGCTACCCAGCTGGGGCGACTCATGTGAAGATGAATTAAATACTTCCGATACTGCAGCTGAAACATTGCAAGAAAATACTGTTAGATCACCTTTTCTTTACAACAAGGATATCAGCGGGAAAGTGATTCTTTGGTAATTCTTTGACTAAATCATACCAAAATATGATAATATTCTCGTAATTTTTTTCTAAATTATTTTTTTCTCATTGTTTCTTCTAAACTCCTTTATTCTCATAACTTCTTCTAAACTTTTTTGTGAGCCCTAGCTCTGTTAACGTATCATTTTGCACATACTTACACAGTTTTATTGAGGTATAATTGACATACAATAAGCTGCGTATTTTTAAAGTGTACACTTTGGTACACTTTGACATGTGTATATCCGTGAGCCTGCTCTCCCATTCCGATCACCACAGCCAACTTAATATATTTATCACCCCCAAAAGTGTGTTTTGTGTCCTTGCATAATCCCTCCTTCATGCCCCCCCTGACTCCACATCCCATTAATCTTTCTGTCACTGTAGATCAATTTGCATTTTCCAAAGTTTTATGTAAATGGAATCACGTACTCTTTTCTTCGTCCGGCCACCTTTGTTCAGCGTGATCATTCGAAAGTTCACCTATGTTGCGTCTGTTAGTAGTAGTGCCTTTCTTCTTTAAAAAAAAGCTTTATTGAGAGAGAATTCACATCTCATACAGTTTATCAGTTTAAATTGTAGAAGTCAGTGGTGTTTAGTGTATTCACAAAGTTGTGTAACCATCACCACAGTCAATTTTAGAACATTTTCATCACCCCAAAGTCCTCTACCCGTTAGCAGTCATTCCCTGTCTCCCCATGTCTCAGCTGCAGCCAACCACTAATCTACTTCCTCTGTGTATAGATTTGTATACTGGGGACATCTCATGTAAATGGAGTCATTTGTGACTTGGTATGTTTTAAAGATTCATCCATGTGGTAGTGTGAATCAGTACTTCATTCCTTTCTATGGCCAGATAATATTCCACTGTATGGATATACATACCTATGCCATTTGTCAGTGTTAGTTCATTAGTTGTTAGACATTTGGGTTCTTTCTACTTTTTGGCTATTAGGAATAATGCTGCTGTGGTAAACTCTCGAAGCCAACCACTTTCAGCTCTATAAGCACTCTGTTGCAATGAAAGCAATACGGAAGAAGGAAAGAAAGAACACAATTCTGTGGGTAGCAGCTTTGCAGCGTTTGCATTGAAGATCTAAGATGCCAGATTAGTCTTCCTGAGTCCGGAACTCCTTTTCTACCGTTGCTTAAGCTTGTGAGCTAGCAAAACCAATGTTGTAAGGGGAGTGAGGATAGAACGTTTTGAAATAATTAGCAGTTAGCTTTTTTATCTCCCTCCTCTTCCCCACGTTTGTTCTTTGTTCATCGTTTCCTCAGGAAAGGAGACGTGGCATTACTGAACTGTACGGCCATTGTGAATACCAGCAATGAAAGTCTTACAGATAAGAACCCTGTGTCAGAGAGTATCTTCATGCTCGCAGGACCCGATTTGAAGGAGGACCTCCAGAAACTTAAGGGTGAGTAAGTTTTCCTAGGTATGTTATTGTTAGGACACATTTCTGATATTTAAAGAAGCATGTTTTGCATTTAGTGAGAATACTAAGTAGATGCAGCTGTTTTGTTTTTGTTTAAACTACATAAAAACAGCTTTTGAAAGCCCCACATTGTGTTAGAAACTGAACACTGAGACTTTACTCTCACTAAAACTCCTCTGTCATGTTCTTGAATTTAAAAATGCTAGGTACTATAGCCAGCTAAGTCTTTGGTAGCATTTTCTTGGCTGTATATTTTCTTGCACAAATAAGCCTTGTGAAACAACTATCCTTTCTCCAAACTGAAAAATTCTATCATTATTTGATATTGATAGAGAATTTTTCATATACCTCAAGGAGAGTAAATGTTGCACTTTGGAAATGAAGTTGACTTAGTGATAAAACCAAAATGCATTGTAAGGACAAATATATTCTCGATTACTTTTGCACTTGCTTTTTTTTTTTTTTTTTTTTTTAACCAGAACCTTCTTCTGAGAATATTTCATTAGAAATGGAGACAGGGAAGAGTTCCATTAGTTCAGAATCTTGTTTACCTTATTTGCATTCATTTTCTTCAATTACCAACCTGGCAAGCCAAGTTACTATTATTTGAGCCCAAATAGAATATTGTGAAATTCAGTCAGCCCATTTTATAAAAGGTATTTAGGAAATACAGCAATGGTTCTTAAAATGTAAATAACAGATATCACCTGTATAAAATCTTGAGTTTTTTTTGATCTCTACCATTTATCAGTGAAAACTGGTTTCTAACCTAATAAGAATATTAGAATTTGAAGAGGAATGCTTAATAATGCTGATTCCATGAAAGAGAGGATAGAGAGAGAAGAATTACATCATCTGATCAAGAAACTGAACTTTATGATAGCTGAAGGAGGAAAAAAGCCCTCAATTAAACTGAAAACATGATACCGGGAAGAACATGTAGAAATTAGAAAATGCAGTAGAGATAATACTGACAAGTTCTTTGATAAAGGTAATAGAGAAGCTGGTCTGGAAAAATTCCTTACGGCCTGTGTGTGTGTGTTCTCACACCTTAGAGCTAGACGAAAGGGTAAGAGAAAGAAAGTAATCAAATTTAATGTAAGCATACAAATGAAACCTCAGTATTTGACAGCATGTGTCTGAGAGTCTCTAAGCAGGAGTTCATGTTGTAACTCTGCCCTTCACTAACTAGTGTAGTGTAAAACCCGTCACTTCACCGCTGAGCCTGAGTTTCCTACTCTCTGAAGTGGCATGGTGATGATAGTCTCTACCTCAGTTCCTGACACATCACAAGAGCTCAGCGAGTATTTGGGGATAGAAACAGTATCATGAAAAGTAAATGAAATAATAGACATTAAGTTCAAAGTACATTCTAGTGTTTAGTGTTACTGCTGCTGTTAGTTACAGGCCCCAATTGTTTGATGCGTCTCTGCAAACCTGAGGAAAGATTATTAATGATGCACTGCAGGCTGGATACTTAATCCTGTCCCCTTTTTACATTTTCAGTAACAGCTTCATAAATGATTGCAAAGCATGACTCCCCAAATTTGTAGATGATAGAAAGTTGAGAGGAGTTAATAGGAGATGTTGGATGACCAAAGAGTTTTAAATATTCTGAGCCGACTGGAACCAGGAGCCAAAAATGAAAACACTGACAGGGGTGAATATAAAAGTCTTGCAGTAAGTTTAAAACCTGAATTCTCCAAATTTAGGATGGGGAAGCCCAGTTTGACAACCCTTATTATATAAGAAAGTGTTTGCTATCAGTAAAATGGCATCGTCATTCTCTCCCATTTTTCACGCAGAAAATTAGGGTTAATGCTTTCTCCTCATTATCCCCCACATAAAAGCTGTCATCAAGCCATAAATATATCTTGAGTCTCTTATCACCACTGCCTCCAACCTAGCCTGTCTTACCATCGTTCCCTGACTGGAGCTTCCCTTTCAACTGGTCTCCCTACATTCATTCTTCTTTACCTAAATCTATTTGCCACATACAGTAAGCATTTGCTTTTTAAATTGTAAATCCCTTCTTACTGCTTCCCTGCTTTGAACCGTGTAGTGGCCTCCCGTGACATTTAAAACACAAACTCCTTGAGCTGGTGTCCAAGGACTTACAAGATCTCAGGCACTTGCCTCCGGGCTCCTTCCATGTCCCTTTCTCCCTCCCTTACCGTACTTGAACCAAACTGATCGTTTAGCTCTTGTTCAATTTTGCATGTACTTTGCTCTTTCAGTTCTTAATTCTTCTTGAGTCTTTGCTTATTCTCTTCCTCGTATTTACTTCAGAATTTGCCAATCTCCCTATGATACGTGCTCCCAGCCTGTGTTGCTTTTCTTTTGTGCTCTTATGACAATAGTAATTTCATAAATTGTTTATATGATGATGGGGTTCACATTAAACTTTGACCTCCATGAGGACAGGAACTGTATGTCTCCTTGGTCTCTGTGTGCCTGTACCCAGAGGAGTAGTGGAGGCACCCTTTAAGTAGCAGGTGAATGACTACAAACTCCCTGGGATGTTAAGTAACTAGACTCAGCAGTGATGATGTCTTATTTTTATTGAAAACACTAACAGTATCAGACTATGTCACCAGTAGCATCACAGAGGAGGGTAATGTGTTAACAGCTTAAAATAGCTGTTATAAGATGTTTTACGTAAGCCTCGTGATATTCATGAAGAAAAGAAACCTCTAATAGATTCACAGAAGATAAAGAGAAAGGAATTAAAGCATACCAGTAAGAAAAATAAATCACAAAGCAAGACAGCAAGAGAGGAAAAAGAGGAACTTAAAAAAACCTCAGGAAACAATTAACAAAATGGCAATAGTAATTCCTTACCTAGCTGCAATTACTTTAAGCATAAAAGGACTAAGGTCTCCAATCAAAGGACACAGAGTGGTTGGTGGATAAAAAAACAAGACCCAGCAGTATAGTGTCTACAAGAGAGTCACTTTAGCTTTAATGATACGTGTAGGCTGAAAGTGCAGGGATGGTAAAAGATACTCTGTGCAAATGGAAACCAAAAGAGAACAAGAGTGGCTGTACTTCTGCCAGATAAAATAGACTTCCAGTCAGAATTGGTCACAAGAGACCGAGAAGGTCACTGTATGATGAAAAAGGGGTCAGTTCATCAAAGGGATGTAGCAGTTGTAAATATGTATGTACCCAATGTAGAAGCTCTTAAATATTTAAGGCAAACATTAAAAGACCTAAATGGTTGGGGCGCCTGGGTGGCTTAGTCGGTTAAGCGGCCGACTTCGGCTCAGGTCATGATCTCACGGTCCGTGCGTTCAAGCCCCGCGTCAGGCTCTGTGCTGACAGCTCAGAGCCTGGAGCCTGCTTCGGATTCTGTGTCTCCCTCTCTCTCTGACCCTCCCCTGTTCATGGTCTGTCTCTCTCTGTCTCAAAAATAAATACTAAAAAAAAAAAAAAATTAAAAAAAAAAAGATCTAAATGGAGAAATAGCCATACAGTAGCAGGGACCACAGTATGCCACTTTCAACACTGGATGGATCATCCAGACAAAATTAGTAAGGAAACAGCGGGCCTGAATTACACTATGGGGTCAAATGAATATAATAGGCATACCCAGAATAATCCATCTAACAGCACCAGAGTGCAAATTTTTCTCAGGCACACACAGAACATTCTCCAGTGTAGAGCTTATGCGTCTCCATGTGCAAATGAGAAGGAAAATACTTTCTCCTGCAATCAGGACCGCTGTGTAGTTTTGCTACTTAAATGTTCTGTCACTTGGTACTTAATGTGCACATTTGCTAGGATGGGAGTACACGCACTGAGTTTTTTGATTGCTCTGTTCTCTTATGAATAGGAGTCTTTGCTATAAGGATTAAAACAACTTTTGTGTTTCTTACTGTGGATGTTAGCATTTGGAGAGAAATAAGTGAAGTTGAAAAGTCCTAACTAATCTTTACTGCTCCGATATTCAGGTTATCGTACCAGCAGCGCTCCTTAGCGGAGAGGTAAAAGGCATGCTGGACAGAGTTTCGGCTGGAGTGAACTTGAACTTACTCAAGAAATTTGCATTTGTTCTGCAGGAATTAAAGATACTTTCAGGGTTGTGTTTTAACTGTTCATAATGATGTCAGGATTTAGGCTTTGGGTTAGAAGAAATCTGGGCTAGACAGAACAAGTGGAAGGTTGGGAATGGTGTGCTTATTATTAGCATGAGTCTAGTCTCCAGAGTTCTGCATTTTGGTTAACAATTATTAAGGAAAAGGTGCGATTCCCAAAACCAGAGTATCCTGAACACTTAAAATTCTTTTCTGTGTCTGTAGTCTGTCTTCAGAGATCTTCAGGACTGATTCTGCCAACTGCCCCAATACATATTTCCTTACTTGCTTTATTTTTTTTTTTAATATATATTATGCCTTTCAAATAATTGCTTTCTAGTTACAGAAGCAGTAAATGTAAATTGTAGAAAGTATATGCACACAAGCTATGAAATAAATGAAAACTTAACATTTCACCACACAGATCACCAGTACTCGTACTGTAGCGCATATTCTTCTGGATCTTTATGTGTATGTGGGCGTACGCATACATTCTTAAATATTTTGTTACCAAAATAATAATATGTATACAGTGCATATCTTAAGATAATTATACACATACTGTTCTGCAGTCTGCTTGCTTCAGCAAATGAATTCTACCTTTTGGCTGTTCATCTAATACCCAAACCATAGTTTTAACTTTCCAGTTGACCCAGAAATGCCCTTTGCAGCTAGTTTATCCAAAGCAATATCCAATCTAGGGTCACACATTACATCTAATTGTTGTATCTTTAAAGATTTTGTTTTCATCCAACTCCATTCCCTTTTTATGACACTTGTTGAGTAAAGTAGGCCAACATGTCTTCCAAGATGGCTCACCTTCTGGGTTTATCTGCTTACCCTGAGGTACCATTTGGTCTGTCACTTTATCCCTTGTATTTCCTATAACCTGGAAGTTGTATCTAATTGAATCAGATTTGGCTAAAGGATTTCATAGGTGATGTTGTATTGTGTACTTAGTATATCATATGGGGAGACGTATAAAATCTGATTGACCTGTTAGTGGACCATTACTGACACTAAGATGGCTCTCTGGCTTAGAGTGATGACAGCTTGATTCTTCCATTTGTACAGTTGTTTTACCCTCTGTAGTCAATATGGGGTTATTTAAGTTCTATGAATACCCAGGACCCTGTCATACGTTCACATAATGGTTTTAGCAACATTTATAGTCCTTATCTGAGTCAGTAATTTCATTAAGATTGTGAAGTTGTAGGGGAGCCTGGGTGGCCCAGTCGGTTGAGTGTCTGATTTCAGCTCAGGATGTGATCTTGCAGTTTGTGGGTTCAAGCCCCACATGGGGCTCGCTGCTGTCAGCCTGTCAACATAGAGCCTACTTCAGATCCTCTGTCCCTTTCTTTCCCCCTCTGCTTGCCCCTCCCCCGCTTGCACTCTCTCAAAAATTAATTAATTAATTAATTTTAACAAAAGATTGTGAAGTTGTATTTTTCTAAAACCTATCATCATATCCTTGGTTACTAGCTCACATTCCTCTAAAGTAGAGCCTTTCCCCAATAACTGACATGTGGTTACTCTGAATTAGTTTCTATTAGAGGGCAGCATAAATGCTTAATTCTTTTAATTACCATTTTTCAAACTAAGAATTGGTTATTAAACCAATTTGAGCTGCCTCAAATGGTGCCAAATGATGTTTTTTTCCCTTTCTCTTTTTTGAGTATCAGTTCGTGCTTACGGCTTTTCATTGATCAACGTATATGTGGTTTTAAAAGTCAAAGAATCTTACATCGAAATATATAAAGGAAAACAACAGTTCTTTGCCTTTCCCTTCCCTTTCTTCAGGGGCATATACTTTCAAACCTTTAACTTCCTTATTTTACTTCTATTTCCAAATAATATGCTACAACTACTGTATTGATTTTTTTCATTCTCTGTTGACTTCCTATTGTGGAAATTAAAGATTAAACTCTTATCCACTCCCTGCTTTTAACTATACAAAAAAAAAAAAAATTCACATTTTCTTCCCCCTTCACCCCTTTCCCCAATTGGTCTGTCAAATTTTTATTAAATCGACATTCAGCCTTAACATTGTGACTGTATAAATATTGCTCGCTGCTTATTACAAAACGGATTTGAATTGTTTTTGTATAGCTATTTTCCTGAGTTATTGATTTGATTATTTAATATTCTAACTATCACTGATTCAATCTCAAACTTTTAAATACGACTATAAACCTCTCAGTAAAGTCAAAAACTCTTGGTTATCTTTCAAGTCCATTTTCTTCTTGACAAGGTGCCTCCTGAAATCCACCATCCTCTTTCCTCTCTAGGTTGTTCTCTATGCCTGCTGTATAGTTATTATCCTAGGAAATCCTTTTTTCTATTCAGTGAATCCTCCCATTTTCTGGATCTCTCATGCCTTTCTCTTCTTTGATGTATTCCTTCATTTTTGTGGATAAATCTACTGGAGATACCTGAGAAGGATGGGTGGGGACAAAATTACTGAGACCTTCCACCTTCATACTTAATTGGAAGTTTGGCTGAAAATGAAATTCTAAGCTAGTAATCCTTTTCCAGGTTTTGAAGGCATTGGTCCATTGTTTTCTGTTTTTATTATTGCTCTTGAAAACTCAGATGCTATTCTTGTTCTTGATTCTTTGCGTGATAATGTTTTTTTCTCTGGAAACTATGATCTCATCTTTCTGGTATTCTCAGTTTCATAGTTTCTCCACCTCGATGTGGTTTGGGTATTCTGTGAGCTAGAAACTCTTATCTTTCAGTTCTGGAAAATTTGTTTTCTTTCATAATTTCCTTCCCTCTGTATTCTCTGTTCTCTCTTTGAAGAAATTCTATTGGATTTTGTACCTCCTTGTTTAATCCTCCAATTTTTCATGTCTTATTTTCTAGCTTTTTATTTTCCGGAAACTTTCCCTAACTTCAGCTTTAATGTATCTGTTGTCATTCCTGATAACATGTTTTCATTTGGCTGTAACAGTTATAGAAGTGCTTTGTTTTTTCCTCTTCTCTGAATATTTTTTTTTTATAACATCTTATAACATTCTGGTTTTGTTTCTGAGGTACCATATCTTCTCTTACCTATCTGACAGTGGTTGCCTTCTCTCTTGTTTGAGCATCGTTTTGACCCCCTTTGGTCAGAGGCTTGGCTCACTTCCTAGTGATCCTTGAGTGTCAGCTGTATTTATGATAGAGGAAGTGAGAAGGTGAAGGGAAGCTCTGTGTACACGGGCAAGAGTTACTGCTTGGCGGGTCTAGCTGCAGGTGATGAGCAGAAGGAGCCCTGTTGTTTGGTTGGGGAACTTCCCTTAGTTGTCACAGTCTGCGAGTCCTTTGGTTTGGGCCTCTTAGTTTCCTGGAAGGGGTGTAAGCGTGGGCATCTGTGTTTTGGACACCAGTTAGGAGCAGAAGGCTAAAGCTCTCACTGTAGAGTGTAACACCTTAGCTAAATCCCCTCTTCTCAGCTGCGCCCTGGGTTCTGCAGTCCAGACACTCTCCAGCGCAGCATCTCCAGAGAGTAAATGTTCCTGCTGCTGTGATGGTAAAGAAATCATCCCCTTGCTGTGCTTGTTAGGAAGGGGTTGTTGCAGATTTGACTGTTCTTATGCAAACTTAACTCCGCCTCCTCTTTTTAGTCCCACTTCACATCGTAGCCTTTAGAAGTACATAGGCCTCCAAGTCTTGAGCCTTCCCAGTGTTCCGTAGTAACAACAAGAATGGTAGGTAACGCGTGTGTGTACTTTGCATGTATTAACTAATTTCATCCTGTGAAGTGAGTACCAGTAGTATTCCCACTAAACGGGAAATTGAGGCCTGGAGAGGCCAGGCAGCTGCCCAGGTAGCACAGAAGGAAAATGGTAGACCCGAGATTTGAATCCAAGCAGTCTGTCTTGAATCCAACACCGCCTTTCCATACGACCGGCTTGCTTCCAATTGGCGACCTCTTTTCTGTGAGCAGTTAGGTTTCTCTGCTTGCTGAATCAGTTATTTCCAGGCCTTCTGCCTTCCAGAATTTTGATGATGCTTATCTGCTTGATGTTCTCTCCCATTCTCTTTGTCTCTGTTTTTATACCTATCGTATTGCTTCACTGTCATTTTGACAACAGAGATCAGTGTTTGTGTTCAATCCATATTTTTAATTGAAATTTCTCAATGAAGTTCTTATTACTTCTCTGTTTTATGCCTTATTTTGTTGACTTTTTTTCTCCCCAACACCTCCATGACTTAAGCATGCTCCATTGTTCCCAGGTTGCCGGACAGGTGAAGCAAAATTGACGAAAGGATTTAATCTAGCTGCCCGGTTCATCATTCACACAGTGGGACCTAAGTACAAGAGCCGCTATCGCACCGCTGCTGAGAGCTCCCTGTACAGCTGCTACAGAAACGTGCTTCAGCTGGCAAAGTACGGCTTATTCACCTCCTGGATGCACCATGCCATACACTGTCAAAGGCCCCGGTTTCAAAATGAAACCTGGCTGTGGAAATCAAATTTTGAGGGATTTAAATCACGTAAGAGGATTCTGAAGACAAAATTAATTATCTTCGCAAATTTAGCAGGATAAGAGAAATGGATTTGGGTGACTTAAGAATTTAACCTGTTCTCATTTTACTCAATCTTTGCTTGAACTATATTCCCCCCGAGTGGTACAATTATAATATTAATATAAATATTAAATAGCGTAACTGAGTTAATTGTTACACTAGATTTGTTGAGGTAGGGAAGGAGAAGTTGAGCTGCATTTTTAAATTAATTACATATGTATGTGTTATGAATATTGGTGCTTTGTGTTTTCTGTCCACAGAGAGCAGTCAATGTCATCTGTGGGATTCTGTGTCATCAATTCTGCAAAACGAGGTTATCCTTTAGAAGATGCAACACACATAGCACTTCGTAAGTAACATTGGCGAAGCTGTGCCTACATCGAGGACTTCATAAATAGGATTGGGTTGCAGCACGTAAATTGAGCCTTACAGATTTTTCTGTTATCGCTAATTAAATAGTTATAGCCAAAGAAGATTTGTTGATTAGCTAATCATGGCATCCTGGAGGGAACTTTGTATTGATAAGTTGCTGAGCTCAATTTACTTTCCCAGGCTAACATTTTTCTCCGCTTGAATAAAGGCTTGCAGGCTTGCTTACGAAATTTGCAAATGATACCAAGCTGAGAAGTATGGTCAGCGCATTGGGTTTTTGCATCATGATTCAGAATAATTGTAATATTGCAACAATGATGTCAAAACAGATTTCATGATACAGTGTTTATGTAGCACTTTGCAGTTGAAATAGCAGCTTTCACATGTGTCATTTGAGTATAAATCCTTGCATTGAGGTTTAAAAAAGACCAAGCTTGATCATTATGAGACAGAATGTCATATATGTGATATAAAAACAAGGTGTTCGGCTCGAGAGATTCCATGATCTCACTGTATTATATGCAGGTTCAGACCACATCTAGACGTTTGTATATAGTTCTGGGTGTCCTATCTTATGAGACACTGACAAACTGGAGAGCCAGCAGTTTGAAACAGGAGAAACAGGTGTTTCTCCTAAAGAAGATGATGCTTTTAGCATATATGGTGCCCATCTTTAACATCTGAAGGAGTCTCGTGAACTTATTCTGTGCTGCATTTTTAGAGTAGTGGTTCTGAGCCTCTTGGGGAGCCATCATAAACTACACCGAGCATCTGATGGAAGAAAGCTGTGGACCCCTTCCCCCAGAGGACATACATACACAGGAAATTTGTGTACAATTTCAGGGAGTTCACAGATTTCTTGTAAGACTTGTAGGTAAGACCTCCAGCAGTAGAGAACAGGTCCAAGACTGTGTCAGAAGGAAGGAGATTTGGTCCCACTTGAGATAGGACTCACTGTAATAGGCGGGTGTTTTAAGTGAACTTCTTGTCACTGGGAATGTGCACGCAGAGGCTAAATGACCATTTGTTGCAGTTATTCCTCATTGAGGAGGAAAACTATATAAGATGATCTTTAAGAACCCTTGTATCTCTAGAATTTAAAGACAAGGAGCTGAAAGTCTTCTCAACGATAAACTAGAGATACTCAAATGTATAAAATTATTATTAGATAGCCTAGAATTTAGGGTGAGTACATAAGTAGTCTTATTTAACAATTAACTATTTTTAAAATGAAGATTGACTGCTCAAGGATTTTGTAGTAAATTTACCTATTTTATACTTTATATATATTTTATTAGACTGAGTTTCTTGAGGAGCAGAGCTCTTATCTTTTCATCTTTGCATTTCTAATGCTTCCATAGGTCAAGAATGGTTTACATATGGTACTTGCTGAAGAAATAGGTATTTTGGGGGAACCTGGGTGGCTCAGTCGGTTGAGCATCCAACTCTTGATTTCAGCTCAGGTCATGAGCTCACGGTTTGTGAGTTCGAGCCCCACATTGGGCTCTGTTCTGACAGTGTGGAACCTGCTTCAGATTGTGTCTCCCTTTCCCTCTCTCTCAAATCTTTTTCTCTGTCTCCCTTTCTCTCTCTCTCTCTCAAATCTTTAAAGAACTTTTTAAAAAAAGTATGTATAGGGGCGCCTGGGTGGCGCAGTCGGTTAAGCGTCCGACTTCAGCCAGGTCACGATCTCGCGGTCCGTGAGTTCGAGCCCCGCGTCGGGCTCCGGGCTGATGGCTCAGAGCCTGGAGCCTGTTTCCGATTCTGTGTCTCCCTCTCTCTCTGCCCCTCCCCCGTTCATGCTCTGTCTCTCTCTGTCCCAAAAATAAATAAAAAACGTTGAAGAAAAAAAAAAAAAAAAGTAAAAAAGTATGTATTTTAAAAAGGGATATAGAAATTCCCTCAACAGCCCTGTGTTTTAGGGAATATGGTGTCCTTTTTACAAATAAAGAGGCTCAGAAATTTATCATGTTCTTAAGGTTATGCATACTGATGACTCCCAAGTCCAGTAACCTGTTTATTATACTAAATAATTCAATTATGCTTGAGTTAGAACTGCTTCAGTGGGAAGCTCCTATGTTATCACTACTCTGCATGCATTCTGAATGGTGCCTTACCAAAGCAAAGTTCCTGCCTTTATATAATTCTTCCTGGCAAAGCTTTTGGCAGGTCTTGACATTCTCTGATTCCTCTTAGTCCTTGCCTTATCATCCCATACCTTGAGCTATGACTTTTTATATGTCTCCGTTTCTTATTAAAGTAATCATATAGGTTAGAACTTATTTTTTTAATGTTCATTTATTTTTGAGACAGAGTGCAAGCAGGGGAGGGACAGAGAGAGAGGGAGACACAGAATCTGAAGCAGGCTCCAGGCTCTGAGCTGTCAGCACAGAGCCCGACACGGGGCTCAAACTCACGGACCGCGAGATCATGACCTGAGCCAAAGTTGGATGCTCAACCGACTGAGCCACTCAGGCGTTAGAATTTAAAAAGGCAGCAACACTTTGTAGAAAAGGCTCTGAAAAGTGAGTCAAGAAGACTGGCTTTTGATCCCAGTTCAACCAGCCTCACTGGCTCTGTGGCCCCAGAAAAACTGCTTGATAAATCACTTAGTACAGTACTCTGGAGGTGTCAACTTTGAGCAGGAATTGTAGTAAGAGCAGATGAAGGTCAATAGTTGGTTTTAAGGGACTTTGATGAGGCAGTTTCTAAGAATTTACTTATTTAGTACAAAGGAAATGGAAAACTTAAAGATGGGCAAGTCAACTTTTATAAGGCCTGTTTGACTTTACCTTAAATCTAATAGCAAAACTGTAGCATGTTATTAAAAAAAGTACAGATGGACTTTCGCAGCATGTACAGACCAAGAGCAAATCTAATAATGTAACTCTTAAGTCTTTAGTACCAAACTCTTTAAAATATTACCAAACTTTATTTCATTTGAAACCTAGGTAATGTCCTCTTGATAGATGTATCAAGACTATTTATCGTTTTTCCCTGGGTTCACGTGCAGTTCAGTTCTTCTGCATTAGAAGCCCAAAGAAACATCTGCATTAAAATCAGTTCATCGGGTTATTTATTCATTCAACAAAACTTTGAGTGACTGCGTGCTAGGCCCTGTGCTATACAAGAGAGGATACAGTGGTGAGAAAAAAAAAGATGACGCTGTTTGTTCTTACTGTGTTTCCCTGTTGGGAATTTTAATGCCCCAGATGTCATTCTCACCAGTTAAAGGGTTTTCACTAAAAGTGAGGTGCATGACATCCTGGTTGGCTGCAAAGAATAGTGCAGAGATGAAACTTGGAAGGAAACGGTTTGAATTGACTGTTGGTACTAAATCCTTGTAGCCATGACATCACTCTTCTTTTTTTTTTTTTTTAATCCTTTTTTGCAAAATTACTTTTCTTAATGAATTCTGCTGAGGGAATTCAGTTTTAGTTACTATCTGGCATTGCATTTTGTCTTCTAGTGGAAATCCTACAGTTGTATGCTGGGAAACCACTATGTGTGAACATTAATTAAAACTTGGAGTCAAAGAGAAGAAAATCCCTTTCTGAAAGTTCATTTTAAAAAAATTGTTAAGACAGAATAGAAAGAGAAATGAAAAATAAATTTATTACCTTATAGAGGGAGAATAATGAATAGTCCTTCAGCAAATGGGTCTGCTGTTATGTTCTCAAGATATAGTAGCAAACAAGGCAGGCAATATGTAGATAACCAGAGCTATAAAATGTTAATTCAGGTGCTGGTTACTTTTGAATGATTGCTTGCCACATCTTTAAGATGTGCTAGGTTCTCATAATATTAATGTAAGATATACTTGGCCTTCAGAAAGCTCACCATCCAACCGTAAAATGCTAGGAGAACTTCACAGATGGAGGGTTATTCAGGTTGTAAGAGGAGCACAAGAAAGGATGGAGTTCTGTACAAACCAGATGGCTTTGGACAGGGTCTTGACAAATGGGTAGGAGTTCACTAAGAGAAGGCCATGGTGAATGAAGGATATCTAGTCAAAGGTAGCCATGGAGGCAGAGGCAGGATCGCATAAAAGTTAAGTGGAGCGTTCTGAGTACAGCAAAGAAGCCAATTTGCCCAAAACATGAGGTGTGTGGGAGGAATGATGGGAAACAGGACTAAAGCCAAGGGGTGAGGGAGTGGCCAGTTGAGATCCAAGTGTGAAGAACCATGCTGGGACTTGGATCCTAACCTATAAACAGTGCAGAGCCCCAGGATTATTGAGTAAGGAGGGTGACAGGGTAAGGAAGATAACTCAGGCAGTGTTGAATATGTAGACCTGGAAAAGAGAAAAATAAGCACACAATTAAGAGCTTACTGCCAAAGGCTCGTAAGCATTAAGATCCTAAGAGCAGCTGGAAGAAAGAAGGAGTGGATGTTTGAAAATTTCTGTCAGCAGTAGAATTTAAAGGACCTGATAACCCATTGAATGCAGGGTGAAGGAATGGGGTGCTGGGTGGCTCAGTCGGTTAAGCATCCGACTTGGGCTGAGGTCATGATCTCGCTGTCCTGGAGTTCAAGCGTCGCATCAGTCTCTGTGCTGACAGCCTGGAGCCTGCTTCAGTTTCTTCATCTCCCTCTCTCTCTGTCTCTCTCTCTGTTTCTCTCTCACTCTCTCAAAAGTAAATAAACATTTAAAAAAATTTTTTTAAAAAAGGAAGAAGTGAAAGAAGTGTTGAAATCAGGTTTAGAGCTTGGATGAGTGATTGGATGTTGCTATGGTATGGAATAAAGAATACAGGTAAAGGAACAGATTTGGGGGGAAAGATGGAGGTCAAGTCTAGTCCTCCCCAGTTTGAGGTCTCTGGGTGATCTCGGCAGATATGCCCTGTAGGCAGTAGGCAATTGAGCTCTTACATTCAGAAAACAGTATATAAAGATCTGAGAGTCTGAGTATTTACATCGGTGCCTAGCCAGCAAATTGGTGAGGTAAGAGAATATATATATCAAGAAAATAAATATGGAGGTCAGAACCCTGGAGAATCACATTTTTAAAAGGTAGAATATGGGCATTTAAAACTAAAGCTAGAGAAATCTCTAGTGAGGTAAGGACTGAGAAAAAGGCCTTTAGGTTTCATTGATAGGAAAATGATAGAGAAGAATCAGAATAATGTAGAAATTAAGGAAAAAAAATCACCTTTGGTTTAATGAGATTTTGATAGGGATGCAGGGCTGAGTAGGTCGTTGAACACTGTAACTGAATGAATACAGAGACGCTTAGGCTAGATCATTCTAGGCAGAGAGTGAGAGGCCCCAGGGAATAAAAATATACTGGATAAGGATGAATTGTCTGGAGTCAGCATCTTCTATGGCCGGGCACTGTTCTAGACATTGACAATAAAGCAGTAAATAAAATAAAGCTCTTGCTGTTGGGGTATTTTCATTCTAGCAGATGGGGCAGGGAGGACAGAGAAGATGTAAAATAGATTCCACGAGATGTCTATAATATTTATTCTGGAGGAAAGTAAATCAGAGAAGGAATTTTATTTTTTTATTTTAGAGCACGTGTGAGCGGAGGAGAGGGGCAGAGAGAGAGAGAGAGAGAGAGAAAATCTTAAGCGGGCTCCACGCCCAGTGTTGAGCCCAACATGGGGCTTGATCCCATGACCCTGGGATCATGACCTGAGCCGAAATCAAGAGTCGGACGCTCAACTGACTGAGTCACCCAGGCGCCCCAGAGAAGGATTTTTTAATTATAGTGGTCTGGGCAGGCGTCACTGATAAGGTGTCATTGAGCAGAGACCTACTGAAATGAGGAGTGATGTATTACCAAAATAAAACTTTGAAGAGTTTGTTTGAATTTTCTTCACACAAGTCATTATTTGTTGAATAATTTATTCTTTTCCTTAGGCACTGTAAGGAGATTCCTGGAGATTCATGGGGAGACCATTGAAAAAGTAGTATTTGCTGTCTCTGAACTTGAAGAGGTATCTTGCTAATTATGTTGCCTTGTTTAAATCTTACTTTTACTAGTGTTTGCCTTTGTGTCATCATTATCTATTTGCTGAATTGCTAGCAGGCAAATCCTAGGTATCAGTGTATGTGTTTGGTATCATTTGTTGAAAAAAATCCATGTTAGAAACTAAAAATAAATCAGAAAGGAGCATTTGTTCATGTTTTTTATTGCTAAGACTGTTTTCACTTAGTGAAGTCCCACAAGGTGGAGTTGTTCTGCTTTGCTCCCTGTATTAGCTCTTAAAATATCTTGAGGCATCACCTTATAACCCAAGTACTGGGTGCCTGGGCAGCGTAACTGGAAAACCGCTACTGTGCTGGAAAAGCTTTGATGTCTGCCTCACCTGGAAACAGGTGGCAGCCTAGCCCAGTGACTGGCACTGATTAAGTTGGAGGGTTATGTTTTGTTGTATGTAGTTGGGGTTAGTATGTTTCAGTCTAATTTGGAGCCGTTTTAGAAAATTAGGTCTTCGCTTTAACTCTTATTAAGTTTTATTTAGTTTTAGTGTGCTCTCTCCCATCCAGCTTATATTATTTTGCAGCTTCGTGTCCTTGGGAAAGTTACTTAACCTCTCTGTTCTTTGATAAAATGGGAGTACTAATAGCAGTTATATCACAGGAGTTTTGTGGTGAATGAGTTAATTCCTGTGAAATACCCACTGAAAGTATTAATAGCTACATGCATGATATACAAATACTTTTGAATTTGCTAAAACGAGACACATTTGCTTGTTTGCTGTCTCTTATTTCACCTGGTTACCTATTCATTCGTTCTGTCAGTGATCTTTCATTGAGTGTCTGGCGTACAAGTTTATTACACTAGATGGGAATACACCAGTGAAGAAGTCAGGGTCGTTGTCCTCAAGCAGTCCGTTGTCTATTGGTGGGGACAGACAGTTCAGAGTTTTTGATCATCGTGATAAGTGCATTAATGGAAGTATGGAATGGACAGGAACACAGAACTCTAGCTTGCACAGGGTTAGGAAATGCTTCCCATGAGAGGTGATAAAGCTGAAATTGTCGTTAAAGAAAAATACGATATTCCAAGGGAGGGGCAGATGACCGTAGGACAGGAGTGGCAGCGCTTCTGCATTCCAGGTTCAGTGACCTGAGGTTGCCAGGATGGGAGTCAGGCTTAACTTGACCATCTAACAATATCCTGACCTTTTACATAAGAACTGATGGAGGGTCCCAGACGGCTCTAGTCGAGCTTAGAAGGGGAAAGGTCTTTATTCTTGGTGGGAGCTGTCTTCACAGTGACTGGAACAGCACAATGCACTGCTGATGCCTGATGGCTGCTTCATTACTTCGTTATTTTTCACAGAGTGTCTTGCTTTTCTGACACAGGCTACTTACCAAAAGCTGCTACCTCTGTACTTCCCAAGGTCATTAAAGGAGGAATGTCGATCATTGCCATACCTACCTGCAGATATTGGAAATGCAGAAGGGGAGCCTGTGGTACCTGAACGACAGATTAGAATAAGTGAAAAACCTGGTGCCCCGGAGGGTGAGTTCTGCCTTTCTTAATTTCCCTCTTCTGTCAGGGACTGATGAACACCATCAAGAAGGAGATGGTTTAGCCTGCCTTTGGGGGCTGTCTATGAGTGTCATTAAGATCAAGACCACCTTAAATGTTTTTAGAGTTTTATTCTTATTAAAATTTACTTTTTTTTTTAAGTTTATTTATTTTGAGAGAGTGTGTGTGCATGCAAGCAGGGAAGAGGTAGAGAGGGAGAGAGAGAGAGAGAGAGAGAGAGAGAATGAACGAACGAACGAACGAACGAACCCCGAGCAGGCCCCATGCTGTCAGCATGGAGCCCAATGTGGACCTCAGTCTCAGGAACCGTGAGGTCACGACCTGAGCCCAAACCAAGATTCAGGCGCTTAACCGACTGAGCCACCCAGGGGCCCCCAAGTGTAGTTTTTAACCTAAAAAAAAATGTATGTTTATACACACACACACACACACACACAACATCAAGTTTGTTAGGCAGTAGAGATCCAGAGTTGGGTATAACAACATTTTCACCTTTGAAGTACACAATCATCTGAAATTGTCAACAGCTTCAACAATATGTCCTCTAAAAGCCAGACCTAATATTAAATATTGAAACAAGAATGCTGTTATCACTCTTTTGGTTTCTTTAAGTTATATACTCATGTAGATTGGAGCAGTGGCAGAACACGGTAGGGTGAGAGCCCTTCTGAATCTGTGCTGACAGCTTGCACTGGTCTTCACGGGGACATGGTGAAGGCCATAACTCCCTTCTGTGGAGGCATGCCTTACATGCTTCAGTGCTAGAACTTGATCTGAAAATTCAGCAGTCTAGGAATTACTGTGAGATTCCTGCTGTGAACACTTGTAAATGAGCATCAAGGTAAAAATCTGTAGAAGGCTGCTCATCTCCTTTTTATCACCAGTACGCAGCCTTAACTCCAGTGGAGGAATTGTAAGTGGTTTACCACCAGGAAATGTCTGAACCAAGCTTTGCTGGAGGGCTGCCTGTGTACTTTAGGATACGCCCAGACTTATTTGGAATTCTCATGCTTAGGACCACCACTAAAGAATATAGTTTTTCCTAAGTGGGTAAATACATTTTGTATGACAAGGAGTAATGAATAGCAAAACCCAATTCGAGATCGTAATGCTGGGCAGCAGATTAGGCCAACTCGTTAGGCAAAGGGGTCCTTGTGTCAACCATTCACAAAGAGTGCTTGATCACCTCAAAAATGTAGGCCTTAGTGCTCATAAATCTTTTCAATTAGAATGTTCAGTCTGTTAAAATAGATGTAAAGTCAGCTTACTTGATTCATTCGTGGGTATTTGTTCATAAAAGCACACTTTCTGAGCTATTGACCTGTCACAATTTGAAGAGCAGTGAAGTAGAGGTAAGGAAGTCCCATTGAGGTGGCCCACCTGGCTGGGCTTCAAGTAGTGGCATCACCTTGGGAAGCTCCCCATGGTCCAAGTTATTTTTTTTTTCCTTTCTTTAAAGACATTTTTTTTTTTTTTTTTTTTTTTTTTTTTTTTAATAAATCTGGGAAGGCAGTGAGGAGCAAATTAAGAGATGATCCATTCCCGAAGTACTGACATCTAGCCAAACAAAATGATCATATGGGTCAATTGGAAAGTTAATTTATTAATTCGTAGTGAAAACTAGAACTCTGACAGGTCGGAATGATTACATAGGCATGACCAGTAGAGAAAACCAGGATGCTAAATTAGAATGAAACGTTATCCTAGTGAATGTGGGTCCTGCAGTCCCGCTCCAGCCGTCTGTCACTGGGGCTTATCCAACAAAAGGACTCCAGTTTCTGTGTCCGCTAACCACGTGCTCCCTCCTTAAGCAGTTCTGGATCAATGATCCCAAACATTTGTTCTTTTTTATTTGTTTTGTCAGATGTGGTGTGGCAGTCCATCTTTCAACCTGCATTCTGTATAATTACTTCTTTTTGCTTATCATTAGGTTCTGCTCTTTCCTTCCTGAAGTGACACCTAGGTCACCTTGGTATTCCTAAAACTTCTGTCACACGGGGACAGGGGGTTTCTTGCGTTATTTCAGTTCGTTAAATGCCTAAATCTGATTTCAGTTTGATTCTCAAGAAAAAAAAAATACCCTTAACCCCAGTGTTTTTGATTACCTCACAGTCCTCCCTCTTAGGCATTCACAGTCTGTAGCATTGATAGTCGGGTGTTGTCCTACGCTCTCTATTGATAGTATTTTTGTTACAGACAACCAAGAAGAGGAGGCTGAAGGCTTGGGAGTAGATCTCTCTTTCATCGGCTCTCATGCTTTTGCTCGAATGGAAGGAGATATTGATAAGCAGAGAAGACTGATCCTTCAGGGCCAGTTATCAGAGGCAGCCCTGCAGAAGCAGCATCAGAGAAAGTAAGGCGAACCCCTTTGGACTGATAGACATGGAAGGACTTGAGGAATAAGAAAGGACCTTACAGCTGCCAAGTGATCAACATATAATGTATTCTAGTCTATTTTTCATGACAATCCGGTGAGGAAGATGTTGTCCCTATTTGGTAGATGCAGAAAATCAAAGTTAACTTCTCAGTGGTGACAGTTAAAATGTAGCGAAGCCAGTGTTCAGATGCACATCAGATTTCTGAGCCCCCACTCTTTCTACTATAGTTGTGGTGCCTCTGGGTGAAGTTCTAAAAGTAGCAACTAGGGGAAGGGAAAGGCAGAGTTAACAAAGATTTTACTTAACTTTGTTGTATTTATAACTAAAGCGTAATCTATAGTTTCGTTACATTTAAAAACACTTTATTTCTCCCTGATTTATCCCAGGGACCTTAAAAGCCATTCCATTTCTTTCAGGTGTCTTCTAAAGCAATTCTGAATAAGTCCTTTTTCAAGCATAAAGAAAAGCAGCTTATGTGCTTCTGGGTAAGCTTTTCCAAGGATTAACAGTCTTTGGAAAACTAGCTGCTTTTCAGGCACTTTTACAGGAAAGAAAAATGGTAAATTATAGTTCATATCAGCATTACCTTATAGGGTTGGTTGAGAGGTTAACATCTCATGGGATTGTTGTGAGCACCTGGTACTTAGCAAGCTCTTAAAATCGATCACTGTTGTTCTCTTCAGTACTGAGCAAATCCTGGTCTATTTTACCTTTTAGCTTTGGTACTTGCCATCCCTTTTGACCAAAATACTCTCATCCTTCAATTCCTGCCCATTCTCCAGGTTTCAGCTTAAAAGTGATTGCCTCTGGAAATTTATCTCCCTGGAGATAAGCCAGAATAGGTGGAAGGGAAGTCTGGAATAGATGGCTTCTCCTGTATGCTTTTTCACACCTGTACTTAAGCAAAGCATAGCCTCTATCACGGTATCTTGTAGTGATGTGTGGTTGTTGTCAGTCTCCATCTGTAAGTGGGAGTGGACTGGATGACCTCTGCAGTCCCTTACAGAATTAGAACTTTGTATCTGGTGATTTTCTGGTCTTCGTTTTATTCTGATTTTATTTTTAGAAACAAAGCAAATTTGCCGCTAGGGGGCACCAATGAACAGCTTTTCCACAAGCAGTGGCCAGCAAATGATAGTTTCAGTGGTTTCTAAATTTGCATGTGTAAGAATCAACTGGCAAACATTTTTCTTTAAATACAGTGATGGGGTTCTCCCTCACATGACTGGGACTTTGGCATCTGTATATATTTTGAACTTTTTCACATGGTGATTCATGCACTACTAGATCTGGGTACCTTTTTTTGGTCGGAGGCAGTGTTTAAACTGTTTTGTCTTAGGTCCCCTTTGCACTCTTAAAAATTGTTAAGGACCCCAGAGAACTTTTGTTTACGTGGTTTGTGTCTACCAGTATTTATCGTATGAGAAATCATTAATTTATTTAAAAATAATCCATTGTGTTTTTATGAAAAATAACTAAAAAAATAGAAGAAATGGCACTGTTTTACATTTTTGCAAATGTTTTAATGTTTGGCTTAATAGAAGACAGCTGGATTCTCATATCAGCATTCAGACTGTTGCAATAAGTTGTTTTGGGTGAAGTGTATGAAGAAAATCCAGCCCCACTCAGATACATAATTGGGAAGGAGAGGCGTATGTTAATAGCCTTTTCAAATAATTTATGGTATTTTCTGCTATTACAACATAACTCGATAAATGGTAGTTTCTTACAGTTTCGTGGTAATAGGGAATCTCAAAGCATATCCATGAATTTTTATATTCTGATATATTAAAATGTTTTGCTCTGTCCTCTTTGAATTGGTTTTATAATAGGAATTTATAGCATGAATGTATAACATTTTCTGTTGGAAAACATCGATTCACTGAATTATTCGGATCTTCTAAATATTGACAGATTTCAGGACCCAATATGAAGAAATTATATATGTTAATATTGCCACTGACCTCATCAGAAAAGTCTTTAAGTATTAGGAGCTCTAAGCTTCTGGTGATAGAGATGAATTTTCCAAAATTATATGTGCATTTTAAATCTCAAGTTTTATCATTGGCAAGAAATACCGTTGGTTGTTTTTCTGGAAACGACAGGGTCACTTTATTCATTTTTGAGAAAACATCTGCCAAATACTCATGTTGAATAACCACAGTTTGTCTGCCAGTCATTATTTGAAGAAAAACAGTGTCCCATGAAAAAAAAGCAACTAGTTCAGCTTCTAAGTCACACAGTGCTTTTCTTCAAGACAACCTCATACTTTGGTATGTAGAAGTGTTCTTCCCATTCTGTGCTACATTAAAATTAAAAAGATGTGTTCCCAAGGGTTGATTTAATGAAAATAATAATTTTTACTTCCTCATCAAAGACATTCTTAAATAAAACTGGCTTTTTTCTTTTTCTTTTTTTTTTTTTTTTTTTTTTTTTTTTTTTTTTTGGTTCTCTGGGAATTTTGGCAACAGAAGAGCATAGTGACTGCTAGTACAATCTGGGGCCTCCACCATGGTTCATCATAAGGCACCAGTAGTTTGACTTAACAGTTGTTTTTCCGCCATGGGTGCAAATGTGAACACAGTGAAAGAGGCAAATGATGTTTCAGTATGATGATGAGAACGGTTTTGACTTTGGAAACCCCCTGAAAAGCGTCAAGACTGTGGACCACACTTCAAGAACCACTGGTTTGTGGTTTCTCGTGAATGAATACCCATAGTCAAAAGGAATGTTGGTAATCGTCTGATACAGTTTTCCAAAGTGGAACACATGGTCTGTAAGCATTATCATCACCCGGGCTGCTTGCTAAAAATGTGTATGCCCCACACCAAACTTCCTGCATCAGAACCTCTGTGGAAAGTTTCTAAAGTTTCATAAGTGATTCTTCTGCGTCCTAAATCACTGATGTAGTCTGACCCCTTTCTAGAGGATAAATGATCCCCAAGACTGGCTCGCCCAGAGTCACAGCTCACTGAGAAAGAGCCTTCCGAATGGCGAGTACGGCACATCTCCCTTCTCCGCCACCTTCTTCAGCCCACTTACACAAACCAACTTCAGACACGTTGGCAAAGGACTAGAGATTTTTTGTATTCATATTCAAAGAACTGCATTGCAGCCACTTTTCTCAAATCAGTCAACCTGTTCTCTGTCTTTCTCTTCTACACACACGTGCACCCCTCATACCTTTTTCATTTCTCCATGAGTAGTATGGATAATCTGGAAATTTTGAAGTTTGTGTTTGGACTGGATACTTGTCTGTGTGTGTCTCTTTCTCTCTTTAATGAGATTTGTTTCACTTAATGATTAGTTCAGTGACTAGTTCAAGTCAGCATTAAAAGCTCTTCACTCCTTTCTGGAAAGGAGTCCTCGGCAAAGGGATAGCTTCTCAGAAGGAATGTGAATACAGCATGGAAAGCACTGTCCTTGTTGGTAGAGGGCCTTGATCTTGAGATTCACATTTGTTGCACAGTTGATAGTTTCCATTCAGTTCAGAAAATGTTGAATATTTACACTGTACAAGATAACATTCTAGATATTGAAGTAGCCAGAGATAATTAAGGTAGTCCCTCTGTTTTAAAATTCATGAGTGAGCCACATGGTCTTCAGGTGTTGGGGTGTGTTCTGGGCAGCGGTCAGGCTGTGACTGTGTAGTCAAAACACGGCCTGTGGCTCCCAAAGCCTGCACTGAGAAACGGGCGGGCGAGGTGCCTCTGTCACACTGTGCTCTTGAGTGATAAGCTACGTCTGAATCAAAACGTTGTCAGATTTCCACTTAAGTGCCCAGCGTCTGTGATGATTACAAATGAGGTTGAGTCTCATAGCTATGCTGCAGGATACTTCGGAGTAATAACAGAGGCTCAGAAGGGTGGGCAAGGAACCAGAGACCCTTTCAGGGAGCCCAAGAGACCAAAACCAGTTTTGTGATGCTACTCAGACTATTTGCCCTTGTCCTCCTCCTCCTCCTCCCACCGTTCAGTGGAGTTTCCCAGAGGCTACTTACTGTGTGACATTGCAGTAGATTAAATGCAGAAGCAGATGTGAGAATCCAGCAGAACCTAAAGAGATTTGCCAAAACGAGGAGTATTAACCCTTCTCCCAAAACACAGTTTTTGTCGTGTAAAGTCGCTTAATGTTCACGTAAAGGTTTTCGTCGTTTTTAGATTTACAAATAATCACTTTTAACATTTCTGTTTTTATTTCTAACGTGGTAAATGTTGGTAGAGATAACTGACATAAACATCAAAGGGTCCTGAGACCAAAAGGTTTGAGATTTGATGACTCCTTGTCTACGAGTTATAACATAACTGAGTGCTTACTCTGCTACGTGCTGAATGTTTTAAGATTTCACGCTGTGGTTTTTCTCAGTTTATTTATTTCTCTTATTTTGTCTAAATAAGGCTTTATTTACACATAACAGGTCTGGTTTCTGTTCATTATGTGGGTTGATCGGGTTGATCGAGTGATTTTTTTTTTTTTTTTTTTTTTTTTTTTTTTTTTAATCTCTGAGGAAGTAGGTCTTTAGTTAGCAGTATCTTTTTGAAAGCTTTCAATTCTTCCATCAGTAACAACACTAAGGTCCCATGGATTGTCTTTATAGAGTCAGATCATTGTTTGCCCAGCACTACCTCGCCACATCATTACCTCTGTGTGGTAATTCTTTTTAACATCTGAAAAAATTAGGCATGTTGCCTAATTCTTTACTAATATTTCTAGGTCTTCTATCCAGTTGTGACAGTGATTTGGGTATATCGTAAGGTACAAGTTGGCTTACTTACAAAAATTAGGAAGCAACCTAGATATTCTTTTTCAAAAATACAGCTTTAAAACTCTTAAAATTATATTACAGTAACTTTTTCTTTTTCCGTTAGTGTTCCTCGCTTGGCTTAAGATCCAATTGCCAACAACTCTTAAGTCATTTTCCGGAATAAAAACTTCATCTCCTTCACTGTTAAGTATTTTCTGAGCCCTTACTAATGTGCTAGGTGTCATGCTGAAAACATAATAGTGACATGCGAGACAGATACAGTGTCAGCCTCATGGAGCTTCGGGTCTTGCAGAGGAGAGAAATGTTAAACTAAGTATTGTATGAATAATTTATTTAAACTTACAGGGTCCAATGAGTATGTGACAGGGGTCCTAACCAAGTCCAGCGTGGGGCAGTTCCATCAGGTCAGGAAAGCTTATGTTGATTCCAAAGCCAACATTCTCCCTGGGCTATTGGTTACACACAAATATGTTAGCCATTAGTCTTTTAAGAATAATTTAGCGTATCTTTTCTTCATCATTCAACCTGTGGTTATGCACGTGGATGGTAATTGATTAACTGGAAGAAATTGCCTTCTGTTAGCTTTGTGAGGACGGCATCCAGCCTTAGTTGATTGCAGCCTGTTGAGAATCTGTCCACTCAGTATTTCTGCCTTCAGAGCACTGTAGTGGCTCCCTTCGCTGCCGTGTTGCCATATTTTGTGTGACTGTTTACCCGTGATTATTGCAATTTACCCAGCAGGTAATAGAAATCCGTTTACCTGGAATAAGCTCTAAGAAAACAAGAAACTGTTTTAAGTTGATACTTTCCTTTTAGCATTTGTTTTGATTGTTGGATTGGGGTAAAAAATTGTATGTCTTTATTGAAAAAAAGTGCAGAAACTATAGCAACAAATGAGGTGCAGTTTATAAGAGATATAATGGAAGTTTTAAAATTGTTTTGAAATTTTTTTAATGCTTATTTTTGAGAGACAGAGACAGCATGAGCAGGGGAGGGCCAGAGAAGAGAGAGAGGGAGACTTAGAATATGAAGCAGGCTTCAGGCTCCAAGCTGTCAGCACAGAGCCCGACGCGGGGCTCCAACTCACCAGCCGCGAGATCACGACCTGAGCTGAAGTCGGACGCTCAACCGACTGAGCCACCCAGGCGCTCCTAAAATATTTTTTTAATAGTTGAGGGAAACAAACATGTTAGCTGAGGAGATAAAGCTAACATCTTTTGCTTTTATTCCCTTCTTCCAAATTCTTGTTTAAAGGAAAAGAAAGTTGACTAGATAATCAAATTAAACTTCTATGATCCGTAGTGGGAAGGGAGGAGACTTGATTAGAATAAAGAAGAAACCAGCTGAAGATTGCAGTCCTGAGTTGTTGCATTGGAATTCGTCTCAGGCTTAGAAACTAAACCTTTTTGAATCATAAAGCCTTTAAAGAATCACATGTAAGCTATAAACCTTCTCCCCATGAATATGCTCGTATAGATTTTGCCAGCCAAAATCTATTCTAGGATCTCAAGCTGTTAATCACAGATCAAGGTTAACAACATTTTAGAGTTTATACCATATCAGGATTCACACCATGGACTAAAGTCAATTTTAGATGGATTGAGGCCTTAAATTTTTTTTTTAATTAAAACTCATGGAAGAAGTTGTAGGATAGTGTCTTTTATACCTTGGAGAAAGGACAGGTTTCTTAGACAAGATATAAAAGGAATTGACTGTAAAAGAAAAAATAGTTTTGACTGTATTAAAATTAAGAGTTCTGGCAGATGGAGCAGTGAATCTTAAAGTGAAAAACAAGTTACAGAATGGGAGTGTTCACGGTAAACATAACTGGAAAATGACTAGGATCAAGAATATACAAAAAATTCCTACAGGTGAGTGAGAAAAGAACAAATGGCCCTCTAGAAAAACAATATGAACAGGCATCTCACAGAAGGCATGTCCAATAAATATGAACAGGTAGGTTCTCAGCATCATTAGTGACCAGAGAAATGAGATACCCTTTCAAACCTGACTGGCAAAAGTTAAAACATCTGCCAATACCACGTGCTGAGGACATGGGTTCCCAGGAAGTCATATCCATTGCTTGTAGAAGCACAAGTAGGTACAACCCTTTGGAAAAGGGGTCTGGCCTTACCTCCCAAAACTGAATATACCTGTAACCTAGCACTTCAACCCTTATGTAGCTACCCAAGAGAAAGCATGCACACATATACCAGGAAACATGTAAAATAAGTTGATCGTAGCACTGTGCACAGGAGCACAAACCTGGGAACAGTCCGGGCGCCCACCAGTAGGAGAGTAGATGAAAAAAAAGCGTCGTTTTCATGTAGTACAACTACAGTTTACATGGTAATCAAGGTGAATGAAGAACAATGCCACCCAATGATACAGATGAATCTTAGTCCAGTAGGTCAAACAAGACCCAAGAGATTACATACAGAGTGGTAAGCTTTTTCCAAAAAACTTCTTAAGAATACATACAAATGAACAAAAAAAGATATAAAAAGGAAAGCAAGAAAATGATGAACCTGTGATTCCAGACACTGGTTGGGGGGGGGGGG